ACCACAGTCTTCCCCTTGCGCAGCAAGGGTGAGGTCACTGAGGTGTTGATCGACTGGATCCGCGGTGCTCGTCGCCAGCTTAGTGAGAGTTTCGGCTCCGACCTTCCTGTTTTGCGTCTGCACTCAGACAGAGGCGGGGAGTTTTCCTCCGACCTTCTGAGAGCCTTCTGTCGTTTGGAGGGCATCCGCCAGACGTTCACGCTTCCGGCCTCCCCGCAGCAAAATGGGATTGCTGAGCGCTGCATTGGCATGGTCATGGATGTCGCTCGTACGTCCATGATCCATGCGGCTGCTCCCCATTTTCTGTGGCCGTTCGCGGTTCAGTACGCTGCGCATCAGATCAACCTTCAGCCTCATGTCTCCTTACCGGAGACCACACCTACTCTGCGGTGGACGGGGAAGGTTGGCGATGCGTCCGCGTTCCGTGTCTGGGGATCTCGAGCTTTTGTCCGTGATACTACAGCGGACAAGCTGTCCTCCCGTGCCGTTCCCTGTGTCTTCCTTGGCTTCCCTCCTGGCGCACCCGGGTGGCAGTTCTACCACCCCAGCTCGCGTCGTGTTCTGTCCTCGCAGGACGTCACGTTTGACGAGTCGGTGTCGTACTACCGTCTCTTTCCCTACCGCACTGCCTCTCCCCCTCCCCTGCCGCTCTTCCTTGCCCCAGGTACTCCTCCGGTAGTCCCCCTTCCCCCCCAGGGTCCTGCCCCCTCAGGTGTGTCCCAGGTAGACCCTGCCGAGCCGGTCGAGGTAGCTGTCGACTCAGGTGCTGCTAGGGGTGCTGACCCTGCGGGTGCTGAGACTGGGGGTGCTGAGTCTGACGGTGCTGAGACTGGGCGTGCTGAGCCTGGGGGTGTGGCGCCTGCGGGTACTGTGTCTGGAGGTCCTGAGCCTGCGCGTGTTGAGTCTGGAGGTGCTCTGGGTGTCCCGTCGCGGCGGGAGCCCCTCTCTCCACAACGGCTTCGTGAGTGGTACTCTCGGCGCTGTCGGGTTGCTGCTGGAGGTGCTGCTGGTGCGGGTGCTGCTGGAGGTGCTGGAGCTGCTGGAGGTGCTGCTGGTGCTGGAGCTGCTAGAGGTGCTGCTGGTGCTGGAGGTGCTACTGGAGCTACTGGAGGTGCTGACACTGCTGGAGGTGGTGCTGGTGCTGGAGGTGCTGGTGCTGCTGGAGGTGGTGCTGGTGCTGGAGCTGCTGGAGGTGCTGCTGGTGCTGGAGCTGCTGGAGGTGTTGCTAGGACTGGAGACCCTGAGGCTGAGGGTACCGGTTCTGTCTCTGCTGTTTCTCGAGGCGCTGCGCGGCCGCGACCGTACTACGTTCCGCTTCTTCAGCAGGTTCTTGGCTCCCCACCTTCTCCTGGTCCTCCTCCTCCTTCCCTGAGTCCACCGCCTGTCCCGTCTCAGTCGCAATTACAGCCGGCCTCTCCGCTGCCTGGTCCTTCTCCTTACTCTGGTCCGACTAGAGGTCTTACGGAGCGTCGTGAGCCTGAGTCGCGTCCTATGTCGCCTGCGTCTCGTTCTACGTCGCCTGTCCGTTCTGTTCGCGCTGGTCGTGTTTCGCGTCCGCGTCTTCCTCCTATCCCTGACACTCACTCTATGACTCTGCGTCCTTCCACTGCTTCACAGCGTGTCCCTCTGCCCTCTCCTCCTGCGTCCTCTCTTCCTGACGGTCCGGACCCGGAGTCTGACTCCCTTCGTGCTGCTAGTCCTACTGTCACGCGCTTTCTGGCCACTGCTGTCACTGACCCCCTGTTTGAGTTCTCTGCTGCGTCTGCTCTTGTTGCTGAGCTTGTTGACTTTGCTGCAGCCTGTCGCCTAGACTACGCCGCTAGTCTTGTTGCTGAGTCTGCGTCTGTGTCTTTCTGTCCTCCGTCCGTCGGGGGTGAGTGTGCTCTTGGCACGGACGTCCTTGAGGACAGGCAGGAGGACCTTGAGTGCTTTGCAGCTGCTTCACCTCATCTCGTGTCCATGCTGCTTGCCCCTGAGGGAGACCCGGATGCACTAGACATCCCGACCTCGCGCACTTACGCAGAGGCGATAGAGGGTCCCTACTCCTCCCAGTGGCAGGCAGCCATGGACGCAGAGATGGCTTCCTGGAAGTCCACAGGCACCTACGTAGACGAGGTTCCCCCACCTGGGGCGAACATCGTCAATGGCATGTGGATCTTCAGGGTGAAGCGGCCGCCGGGTTCTCCACCTGCCTTCAAGGCGCGTTACGTTGCACGTGGCTTCAGTCAGCGACAGGGAGTTGACTTCTTTCAGACCTTCTCCCCTACCCCGAAGATGACCACTCTTCGGGTACTGCTGCACGTTGCTGCTCAGCGTGACTACGAGCTCCACTCGCTTGACTTCAGCACAGCCTTCCTACAGGGCAGCCTGTACGAGGAGATCTGGCTGCGCCGCCCACCTGGCTTCACTGGGTCGTTTCCTCCTGGTACCCAGTGGAGCCTCCGGCGGCCAGTCTACGGTCTCCGCTAGGCGCCCCGTGAGTGGCACGACACGCTCAGGACGACTCTTGCTGCTCTTGGTTTTGCTCCTTCCACTGCTGACCCTTCTCTGTTTCTACGCACTGACGCTACTCTGCCGCCGTTCTACGTTCTTGTGTACGTAGACGACCTTGTCTTTGCTACTGCTGACACGGAGGCACTCGCCCACGTGAAGTCCGAGCTGTAGAAGAGACACACGTGCACAGACCTGGGTGAGCTCACAAGCTATCTTGGCTTGCGGATCACCCGGGACAGAGCACAGCGCACCATTACCTTGACTCAGTCACACATGGTGCAGCAGGTCCTTCAGCGCTTCGGCTTCACGTACTCCTCGCCACAGTCCACTCCTCTGCCTACCGGTCACTCGCTCTCAGCTCCACCTTCGGACGAGTCCGTAGAGCCGAGTGGCCCGTATCCAGAGCTTGTGGGCTGCCTCATGTACCTGATGACTTGCACACGACCTGACCTCGCATACCCTCTCAGCCTTCTGGCTCGCTACGTGGCTCCCGGCAGGCACCGAAAGGTGCACTGGGATGCTGCGAAGAGGGTGTTGCGATACTTGTGCAGTACATCGGGCATGGGGCTCGTGCTTGGAGGACGGGCTCGAGTTGTCCTCACTGGTCACGCTGACGCCTCCTGGGTTGACGACTTGGCTACGCAGCGGTCGTCACAGGGTTACACCTTCAGCCTTGGCTCCGGTTCTGTCTCCTGGCGGTCTACCCGCTCTTCTTCTGTTCTCAGCTCCAGTTGCGAGGCTGAGATCTACGCTGGGGCCATGGCTGCACAGGAGCTTCGCTGGCTCACCTACCTGCTGACCGACTTGGGAGAGGCGCCTCGTTCTCCTCCAGTTCTGTACGTCGACAACAAGGCCATGCTGGCCTTGTGTCAGGAGCACAGACTGGAGCACAGAACGAAGCACATTGCTCTGCGCTACTTCCTGCAGAGTGAATTTCTGGCGAATGCATTTTATGCATTTTTCAGAAGTTAAGTTTTCTCTGACATATCAGAGTAACTCTCATGATCAACCCTGAATTTCAGAGTTCCCAAAAAAAAAACTCTGAAAATCCGAGTAGTGAAAATCCAAAAAAAAACCCTGTTCTGTAGATATACCAATCTTAGACAGTGCCTCAGATATCAGGAAAAAAACCATGAAAATCCTGATTTTGGCAGTCCTTTTTTTACCTACACTGAAAAATCAGTGTTGAGATTTTTGTGGGACTGATCTTTCAGCCTTTTTTGTTATGCCACACTGAAATTTCAGACTTTTTTTCCCAAGAACACTGATTCCACAGCGTTGTAACGAAACTAACACTGAAAGGAATTCTTACTTGTTCCGTTCCGTGTGGATTTGCCCACAATTACAGGAAATCTTAGATTCCTGCGGTGCCAGCACTCCATTGGGCAGTTTCGCTGCAGCATGAAGTGTTGGCTAATCAGAATGTGGCAACCATGTGGTGCTGGAGGGCTGCAAGGGTTCCTGCACCGTTGGCTGTGCTGGCAAGCACTGATGCTCCCATTCCCTCCAATCCAATCTCTCTTGTTTCTTTTCCTCCTGTTTCTCTCTCCCTCCCTCTCACCCCGATTTCTCTCGCGTTTTCTCGTCTGCACTAATACATGGCGCCATCAGCACCAGAAATGGCGGGCTGTCAGGAATCGAACCCATCGCGAGCGCCGCCGAACCTCCTCTTGTCTTGCCGAACACATCGCTCCCGTTCGACGCGATCCGCAGCGCATGCTGCGAGATGGTCATCGGCCACGTGGCAATTCCCGTCGGCGTCGCAGGCCCGCTACGACTCCACGACGCGTAGTTTTTCGTGCTAATGGCGACGACCGAAGGCTGCCTCGTCACCAGCACGAACCGCGGTTGAATCTGCGCCGCGGGCGGCGCGCAGAGCGTCATGCTGCGCGACGGCATGACCCGCGCGCCCGCCGTCCATTCCCCCGCTCCCTTTACCCCGCACTCCATCCAGTCCCTCTCTCCCCTGGTCGTCTCCCCCCCAACCGTGCTAGTCTTCCCTCCTCTCTCATTGCCTCACCCTGCCTGTCAATCTGGTTCCTCCCCCAAACCCTGCCCCTGCAGCTTCAACGTGTATATGTCGCAAGCAGAAGTGAAGCCGGGGTGTGTGCTGTGGCAGAGCACTGCCACGTACTGGTGTCCCAAGCTGAGGAGGAGAGAGAAGAACCAAATGCTAAGGGCAGTGATGATAGCACGGCTGGTGATGATTCATGAGGCATGTTAGCTTAGCATGCTTCGGAAGGCTGCTACTGACTTACCGTCATCGCCCGGATAGTAGACAGTGTTGAATAGTAGACAGGGGTTGTCTATTATCCGGGTGTCTCTTATAAACAGGCTAGCCTCATTATAAGACACATATTTGTGTGTACGAGATAAGACATATATGTCTTATAATCAGAGCAGGGGTTAGGGGTTTTCTTATAAACAGGGGGGTGCCTTCTAAACAAACATTAGTTTCTTTAGGGGGGTACATGTACACATCTATGAATCTCTACTTCTACCTAGCCCTACTCAGTCACGGCCTCCTCACCTGCACTAAGAACAGGCTCCCTAACATCCAGGTCTAGCACTCGCCAAGCATGCCTAGCCGTCTCCCTAGGCTCGATCATGCGGTCAGCCTCAGCCGCCGCTCCGCGGTAGTTGGGGGTCTCCTGGTACAACACATCCAGGCCGGAGGCCACTGACACCTCCCTCACGCCCTCCGCCCGCATCTCGTCCTCCTCCTCTGGAGCCTGCCCAAGCAGGCGCGTGTTGTCGCCCGTGGTTCCCCCGAGGGACATGTTCTCGGAACATCGTCGTCACCCGTGATGTTCCACGGGTCGTCATCGGATTTTTCACCGTCAAATAAGACAGCATCAGCACCTCCCTCCGCAGCATCCGTATTTGCCTCCGCCACAGCATCCGCATCCGAATCCGCAATTGCGGCCACATCCGCGGGCGCAACAGCATCGGCATCCGCTTCCGCCTCCTCTTCCGTCCTCGCTTCCGCATCCGCCTCGTCGTCAGCCTCCGCATTCGCATCCACCGTCGCTCCCGTTGCATGCGCCGCTGCCTCCGCGGGCTCACCATCAGCATCGGCACCCTTTTCGTTATCCGAATCACCAGCCCGCCACTCTTCCACTTCGTCCTCACTCCCAACCGGCCGATTCCACCAGTCGTCCTCGTCGATGTCGGCAGGAGCTATTTCATCCCCCGAAGCGCTAGCATCATGGCCGTTCTCCGGCCAATCCTCCTCGACGTCGTCGCCTTGTTCTTCATCGCCATCGTCGCCGTGTTCTTCGTCGCCGTCGTCCCCGTCACAGCTCGCACCGGAGGCGGCGGTAGATGTTCCTGCCTTGCGCGTATTCTTCGCCATGGCCACACGGATGTCATCACCGGGCGAGTTAATTCGCCCGTAGTTATTCACCTGCACGTGAGGGCGAGGTGAGGACGTGCCTACGGGGACTTTTCTGCGCATGGTTACGGTAAGCCTGCCGAGAGCGAAGGTTGAGTTGAGATCCCAACCTCCTTGAGCACCAAATGAAGCTCAAGCCCGACTACCCTTCCCCAGCCAGAGTGCCCCTTCCAAAGGTGCCGAGCCGCTCCTCTACAAGGAATCTCCTCGTAGAGGACAGCCCTCACGCTGCCATCGTGCTGCCAGCAGCGTTCTGGAAGCATCCATGCGCTGCTGGCAGCAAAACGACGCTGGCAGCATCATTACATGCTGCCAGCACGGAGGGATGTTGCCAGCAGTGGCAGCTTTGCTGCATCCCTCACGTGGCAAGTGGGGGCGCTGCATGCATCACCACCGAGGTCGTCCTGTTTCAATGAATCTGGCCCCTGGGTGGTTTCTACACACTTTGCAAATGTTACAGAGTACTTATATTTTTTTCCATTTATAAGACTTATAAGACACCCTAAACCATCCCAAATACAAGATAACCCAAGCATTTTGAGTAGTGTACGAGATAAGACATATATGTCTACTATCCGGGCGATGACGGTAGTATTTAAAATAGAGATTTCTAATAATACCGTAACAGCCTTTTATATTATTGAACACTTATGCATCAGCCTTTTTTCAAAGGCAACACTGATATTTCAGGCTTTTTTTTTTTTTGGAACACTGTCAATCAGGGTTTCTACACAGGGGTACCCTGATGGGTCGACGACCCTAAAAGTGAATCTGAGGCCCTGATCTTAGATATGATTGAATTATTTAGCTTTCATGATCTCTAACGGATTTTTTAACTTTCACTTTGCCACATGAAAGCATATACCGTATGATTATACCATGAAAACACACACACACACACACACACACACACACACACACACACACACACACACAGTAGGTACCATACAGGCACATTCGTATCTCAATAGACCAGCTAACTTACAATATTATACACGATAGGCTCAAACGAGTCCTTGGCAAACCACACGTGGGTTTTCAAATCAAATCTGATACTTCTCAATGTTTGGAACCTCTCCGTCCTTCCACTCTCCCTCTGTCAACCTGGTGTCCCCCTCAGGCACTCGGCACGAGTTGCTTGTGTCTAACAGCTTGAGAAACCGAGGCAGCATGGCCTCTATCCTCTTGGTTGGTGCTATACCCAAGGAGGCCACTAACGCAGTGTTTACTGTAGATGGGCAGCCAGCTCCACTCTCATTAGTATCACCTCCAGTTGCAGTTGTCCCGCTATTGCTGGTTTCACTTTCACCATGTGGTGCGACTACAGAAGGAGTGAGTGAAGAGGGGGTGTTCATGGTAGCCCTCCTGTGAGGGTTGCACGGTGCAGGGGATAGCAACCGCTGTAGCCAACCAACAACACCAACACTGCTGCTGCTGCTGCTGCTGCTGCTGCTGCTGACGCCGCTGTTGCTAGTGGTGCCGCTGGTGCTGTCAGTGGTGCCATCACCAGATGGTGAATGGAACGTGGAAGGCGGAGCAGAGGAGGCAGGGAGAGAGCACCAGGAACCAGGGGTGATGCTGTCAGGCTGCCGCCGCAAAAGCTCCCTGCAAGCATGGGATGGGGAGGATGGGAAGAGGGAGTGTGGGGTTACAGGAGGATGGTAAGAGGGATGGGAAAGGGGGGCCAACCGAGGCAGTGGAGGCAGGAAGAGAGCACCAGGTGCCTGGTGTGATGCTGTCAGGCTGCCGCTGCAAAAGCTCCCTGCAAGCATGGGATGGGGAGGATGGGATGAGAGAAGGATGGGGAAACGGAAACAGGAAGATGGGTGTAAAGAAGGATGGAAATAGGGAAGATGGGCGAGGGGGGATGGGGGTATGGAAGGATGGGAAGAGGTGAGATGGGGTAAGGTGAGGCAAAGGGATAGGGAGTGTCAATGTGGTAACAACCCGCAATAAATCATCATGAAGAGAGTCTAGAGGTATCCACTTTAAAGTAATCAACTCCAGAGTAATCAACTCCAGAGTAATCAACTCCAGAGTAGTCAACTCCAGAGTAGTCAACTCCAGAGTAGTCAACTCCAGAATAGTCAACTCTAGAGTACAGTACCCATTCCTTCAATTAGATTGACTTAGTGAGAAGAAGGATGCGTAAAGGGAAGATGGGTTAGGGAGGATGAGGGTATGGACGGATGGGAAGAATGGGGTTACGTAAGGCCGAGGAGGAATAAGGAGGGTTGGAAGCTCCCTGTGATGAGTTACCCTAGTGAGACACAAGAGGTACACTTCAACACCAGAGTTCCCTGAATATACAGTAGCTGAACTAGGCAGAGGAAGGATAGGGAGGAGCAATGGCGTAGCTCCTTGTGACGACTAGCTTGGAGAGAGAGTCTTGAGGTATGTACTTGGAGGGTCCGAACTAGTCAACACGGAGTTTACAATACCTTTTGATTTACTCTGATTGACTGGTTGACTGGGTTGACTGGGTTGACTTGGTTGACTGGCTTGACATAGTTCACCGGGTTGACTTGGTTGAGTAGGAGGACATGGTTGACTGAGATGAGTGGGTTGAATGAGATGAGTGGGTTGAATGAGATGAGTGGGTTGAATGAGATGAGTGGGTTGAATGAGATGAGTGGGTTGAATGAGATGAGTGGGTTGACTGAGATGAGTGGGTTGACTGAGATGAGTGGGTTGACTGAGATGAGTGGGTTGACTGAGATGAGTGGGTTGACTGAGATGAGTGGGTTGACTTTTCTTGACTTGGTCTCGTACCTGTCGATCCTATCCAAAGTCGGGGAGTCGCGAGGAAACTTCCTGGCAAAGAGGAAGACGCCAGTGGTGAAGGCATCATAAAACGAGTCGTTCATCTCAAGGGAGTGCTGCGATGAGAGGATGGGGGAGGGAGAAGCAGGGGGTGCAGGGGAGGGGGCGAGTAGAGGGATGTTTGAGTCAACTCAGAGCTCCACTGGTGAAGGCATCATGGAAGGAGTCGTTCATCTCGAGGGAGTGCTGCCATGGGGGGAGGGGGGAAGAGGTGGGGAGGGGTTGGAAGGGGTGGGGAGGGGTTGGAAGGGGTGGGGAGGAGGAAAGCGGTTGAAGGGGGTGCAGTGGTGAATGCATCGTAGGAGTCGTTCATCTCCAGGGAGTGCTGTAAGGTGGGGAAGGGGTGGGGAGGGGAGGGGAGGGGAGGGGAGGAGAGGGGAGGAGAGGGGAGGAGAGGGGAGGAGAGGGGTGGAGAGGGGAGGAGAGGGGAGGAGAGGGGTGGAGAGGGGTGGAGAGGGGTGGAGAAGGGGAGGAGAATGGCGAGTGGTGAAGTAGTGCCCGTCCGAGTCCACACTGCCACTACCATACCCCCCACCAGGAACGTACCGGGCTGCCCTTGGCAAAGGTGGCGAAATGCAGGCTGGCGTTAAGGAGGGAATGGTTGAAGCGGGCTGTCTGGCAGGCGACGGTGCTGAAGTAGTGCTCGTCCGAGTCGATGACGTCAGCCATGTACATGAGGATGCGGCGCGGCCAGCTGGCGGGCTCCCATAGCACGTAGCGCAGGAAGGGACGCGACGCCTTGATCCAGTTGCAGCCTGCGCAGTATTGGAAGGGGAGAAGAGGAAGAGGAGGGGACGGGGGGAAAGGAAGGGAGAGATGGAGAGTCAAGCAGAGGGTGAAGGAAGGGACGAGATGCCTTGATCCAGTTGCAGCCTGGAGAGGTGTGGTGCGCAGCAAAAGGAGGGGGGAGGAAGGAGGGAGGGGGACAGGGGAAAGGGGTTGGAAGGTGCAGCAGAATAGTCAAGTGGCGGGCTCCCGTAGGACGTAGCGCAGACGCGAAGCCTTGATCCAATTGCAACCTGGAGAGGCGTGGTGGGGAAGGGAGAGAGGGAAATGGGGAGAGGGCATGAAAAGTGTAGGTGGTGAACTCCTGTGGAGGAGGGGGTGTTCAGCTGGTGGGCTACCATCCTCTTGATCCAATTGCAGCCTGGAGAGGTGTGGTGGGGAAGGGAGAGAGGGGAATGGGGCATGAAAAGTGCAGGTGGTGAACTCCTGCGGAGGAGGGGGTGTTCAAGCGGTGGGCTACCATGGGACGTATGGCAGGAAGGGGCGCGATGCCTTGATCCAGTTGTATCCTGGAATGGGAAGAGGGGGATTTGGGAGGGAGAGAGGGAAGGGGAGAGGGAAGGGGAGGGGGAAGGGGAGGGGGAAGGGGAGGGGGAAGGGGAGGGGGAAGGGGAGGGGGAAGGGGAGGGGGAAGGGGAGGGGGAAGGGGAGGGGGCATGCAAGGTGCAGGTGGAGGGCTCCGTGGAGAGGGGAGTTTCAGCTGGTGGGCTCCCATGGGACGTATGGCAGGAAGGGGCGCGACGCCTTGATCCAGTTGCAGCCTGGAGAGGAGGGGCTCCCAAGGACGATGCACAGGAAGGGGGGAGACTCCTTGGTGCGGTAGCAGGATGGAGAGGGGCGAGTGGATGGCGGAGGGGAGTGAAAGGGGAAGGGAAGAAGGGAAGGGGGAAAAGATGGCAAGTCAACACGAAGCAGAAAAAATGGGGGAGGAGGGGACGAGGGGGCGGGGCATCAGTTGCAGCCTGCATTGCGGAATGGGGGAAGGGGGGGAGGAGAGGGGAAGTGAGGGGAGGGTAGGGGAGGGGAGGGGAGGGTAAGAGAGGGGAGGGGATGGGAGGGGAGGGGAAGTGAGGGGAGGGAAGGGGAGGGAAGGGGAGGGGAGGGGAGGGGAGGGGAGGGGAGGGGAGGGGAGGGGGATGGCAAGCCAATAAGAAGCAATGAGGGGCAGACGGAAGGATACGTTGACTGTCAGGGCGCTCATGGCAATGTTCAGCTGGCAGATGAGCGGCACAGGAAGGGCCGGGCACGGGATGGGGGGGAGGTGGTGTGATATGGAAGATGAATGGCAGGCAGGCGCCAAGACGTCAAGCTAATCGGCTGGCGCACTGTTCAGCTGGCCAGGCACGGGAAGGGGCGGAAGCAGCCTCGGTGAGCCTCAGGCACAGTGCGATTCAATTGCAGGCTGGAGCTTTGAGTCGACTCAAAACACGACTCATCTGATTTTACGCTGCCGTGCAGGGTGAGAGTCAACGCGAGTCAACCCACCCATGAAGACGTGGAAGCGAGTGGTAGCGGGTAGAACGTTCCCCATGAGCTTGCATCTTAGATTCAACTCTAGTCAACTCTGGTCAACACTAGTCAACGGCAAGGCACCGAAATTCAACAAGACTGAATTCGAATGAGCACGGGTCCGCACAGGGCGACTCACCATGAAAGCATGAAATCAAGAGGCAGTGGGTCGCACGTCCCGCATGAGCCTGTGCCTTCAAGTCAACACCAGCCAACAAGTCAACTTGAGTCAACACGGGTCAACACGGGTTACCATGGGTCAACACAGGTCAACACAGGTGGACTCACCCATGAAGACGTGGAAGCGGGCCGCACGTCCCGCATGAGCCTGTACTTTGGAGTCAATTAAAGCCAACTCGAGTACATTAGGTCAGCGCAAGTCAACACGGGTCAACTCGGGTCAACACGGGTCCACTTGAGTCAACACGGGTCAACACGGATCAGCACAGGTCAACTCACCCATGAAGACGTGGAAGCGAGTGGCAGCAGCACTGTGTCTTGAATTCAACTCAGGTAAACCCAAGTCAACGCAAGTCAGCACAGGTCAACTCACCCATGAAGACGTGGAAGCGAGTAGCAGCGGGCCGCACGTCCCGCATGAGCTTGTGCCCTCTGTGCGCCTGGAACAGCGCCCTGTCCAGATTCACTGCACGCTGCCGGTAGCTGGCAAGCAGAGCAGAGAATGGGTACGGGTGGGGGATGAGAGGGGGGGGGGGGAGATGTGAGGAAGACAGGGAAGGAGTAGGGAGAGCGTGTGCCCTCTGTGCGCCCTGTCCAGCTTCACTGCGCGGTAGCTAGCGAGCAGATAGGAAAAGGGGAAGGTGGGGGGTTGGGGAAGGAAGAGCCCCCTGTCCAGGTTCACTGCACGCTGCCGGTACCTGGCGAGCAGGGGGAGGGGGAAGGCGGGAGGGGCGGGATGCGGTGTTAGGACTTGTGGAGGGGGAAGGGAGAGGGGGAGGGCGGGGGAAGGGAAGGGAAAGCGGGAGGGGCAAGGCGAAGGGGAAGCGGGAGGGGAAGGGGAAGGGGAGTGAGGGGGCAGCATGGGTCTCCTGATTTAAATCCAATAGAGAAGTTCTGGGCAAAATTTAAGCGTAACTTAAGAAAAGTAATGAAACGATTTGAGAAAAGGGAAAGGGAACGACAGAAAACGGGAGGTTTTCCTTGTGCCTGCTCGTCCAGGTTTGTTGCATGCTGGCGGTGGGGGTTTCAGGCAGGTGCATTGAGAGAAGCATGCTTGAGAGACTTCATAGTCAACTCAAATTTCACAATAACTGGAGGGAGGAGTTTATGAAAAGCAAGGCGGGCATGTCAAGTGACAGCAAGAGAAGCAAGAGACGCAAGAGGGAGGGGAAGGTTAGGTAGGGAGATGGCGAACGGGGGTCCATTGCATTCTGAATTTGCCACTCTGACAGCAACGATGTGTAGGGATGAAACACTCGTGGAAGAACTGTAACGGGAAACCATACGAGTAAACGCGTGTGACTATAACGGGAACACAAGACTATAACGAAGCCAGCGACTCACACGAATCGGGTGGTCCATGAACGAGAGGCCGCGATCCACGTACGAAAACGGACGAGCAAAAGCGTGTGACTATAACGGGGACACAACACTAGATCCACTCACTCGAATCGGTGCTCGACGCTGTGGTCCATGAACGAGAGGCTGCGATCCACGTGCGAGAAGAGATACAGCATGTCTGGAGGGTGAGCGGGATAAGCGTGAAGATGAAGGGTGTGCGGGTGAGGAGAGCAAGCTTTGAGTTATCCGCGTGCGAAACGAGATACATCATGTCTTAGCGCGCAGAGGGGGCGAGAGGAGCGAGGAGGGTGAGGGTGAGGGGGAGAGTGCGGAGGTGCGAGAACAGATACAGCATGTATGACAATGGGGAGAGTGAGGGTGAGGGGGGTGAGGAGAAAGAGGACGAGTGGGGGTGAGATACGGAGGGGACTGGAGGGCGCGTCTCCGTGGGAGAGAGAGGACTGAAGCTAGTCTACTATAAAAAAGGGAGCGTCTTGCTCACATTCTAATAGTGCATCATTTTAGTCCGTTCAGTGGGTGGATAAGGAAGAACGGAGCGTGTTTCGCGCCATTGCGAAGCACGGACGGTTAAATTGCAACCAATTTATTAGAGGACGAACGGCGATCGCGGGAGAGGAGGGGGAAGGGGGATCAACGAAGTTTCTCGTTCACTCACCATCTTGTGACATTAACGGGTAATCCGCAGCGCTCAGGTTGATAAACCAGTCCCACTGCGCGCCGCTCGCTATATGCACATGCGCGAGGCGCAGCGTCGCGGACAGCAGCGTCGACCCCTGGTACGTGACTACTTCGGGGTCCGGAATCACGACAATATTCGCGCGCCTCGAGAGCGCGGGGTGGGCGGCGATCTTTGTCTTTAGCGCGAGAGTTTCCTCCGGGTCGTCGATATGGACGGCGTAGTGGTTCAACGGATGGTATATGGCGAGTAAGAGGCGCACGACGCGCGCGCTGTCGTTTTTCGCGCCGAGAATGCCGTACGCAAGGCGGGGAGTTCCGCCGCCCTTTCCGCCAGTTGGCGCATTCGCGCTATCTTTTTCCCGCCACCACTCCGGCGCGTCACCCGCCGCGGCGCTCTCGCCGCCTGCACCGCCTGCGCCATCCGCGGGCCGTTCCACTACAACCGACACAGACGGCTGTAGTGCCCCTACCGTCTGTAGCGCGCCGCCGCCGCTAGCGTCGCCCGGCTGTAGCCCCGCGAGCACGAGCGCGTCGACCGCGTCGCGGTCGGGCGGGCAGGCGGGCCAGAGGCGGGGGTTGGCGGAGAAAAGGAGGAGATTGCCGAAGAGAAGCGCGCCGAGCACGATGGCGGGGAGCGTGCAGCGGAAGGCGGAGAGGACGTGCGCGGAAGCGGAGTGGGCGGAGGGTTTGGCGGAAGGGGAGAGCTGATGGAAGGTGTCGCGAGGGGAGGTGGCGTTTCCCTCGGGTAACCAGCCCATGGCGAGAGGTTAACGAAAGGTGGCTGGAAACGGAATCCTGCGAAATGCTAAGACTGACGTGCGTGGGGTGACCAAGTCATACGCGACTGCAGTGGGAAAGGCTGCGAATATTACGCGGGGTTAAAGAAATCCGACTTCGCGTGGAAAAAGCTGCAGAGCAAGTTTCTCTCCTAAAACGCACAACTTATCGCAATCGAGCGCGATTGTGCGCGATCGAGGAGCTATTTACAACGGGCGTTACTGAAATTTGCAGAAGCAGGTCTTCGTATCTCATAGCATCAGGTCATCGGAACGAGTCTACAGATACGCTGCTGAAACATCCTGGATAAACAACCTGTTCGAATGTGTTGGCTTGACGGAAATAAAAGGCCTACTCGACGACTAGCAAAGTTGCGCCCGTTCGTCGGGTCTCGTTGGCACATGCACTCTCACGTTGCTCCTGACTTCGAAATTACGGGCTGTCCGAGAACCGTATCCTGACGTGTGTCACTTCGAGTTCTCATGTTTTAGATAGTCGAGGTATTTGCACACTACAACTTCACCCACCCTGGCGAGGCAAGAACCAAGAGATTGTATGAATCACTGGACTGGGGATGGCGAAGCGTAACAGTGAACTATTATTCCTAGGATCAACACGTGATGTCAAGTATGCGTGCTTCGCGCTGCACGGAGCCTGTGTAAGAGCAAGGGCTCCACAAAACCCTAGGCAGAACTGGTCTATTCCAGGGCGAAGGAGCAAGTTATGGTGGGGCGAATTCAATCAGGAGGCAATGAGGGGCGATTTTCGTGACGAGGGGCGAGGGGGCGGTTTGTGTGGTTTGGAGGAATGTCGTGCCGCGACTGGAGGAGGAAGATTGACGGGCTAAGTCTGTACCGCTTTGTAACACTATGTAGCTTATCTGATCGTACGTAAACGCACAGCACAACCCGAATCACAAAGAAATGTGGTGATCCAAGGTTCTTCTGGAAATGCCACCACCAGTTTCACAAGAACGCGACACGAGGTTCTTGTCAAGCCAATCAGGCGTTACCCGAACCTGGGCCAGACATGAACATGTGCCATCGAATCATGTGTGTAAAACATAGAGGCTCGGAAGAAACATGTTTTGGGCAACTAGACCGAACCTTCACAATGACCGAACCCTGTACTGTATGGAAGGCATGTTCGAGGCCCGCCCGGGACTCAAGGCAGCCGAGTTCGCCATACTGTAGCACCTTCTGCTCTCAACCAAACTTCTTACAACCAGGCTCGTCGTCAACCATTTGTTTGGCAAATAACCACGAGAAAAACATACTCTCTTGGTTGGGCACTCGGTTCGGTTCGGCAGAGTGGTGTCTCCGTTCGAAGCTATATATGGTAATATATGTCCAACGAAACCAGCAACGCTGTACTAGCTGAAGCAAGTCTATATCGAGCAAACATCTGGAGCGGAATCCCAACCACATTCACAGAACCACTCGCCTCTGGTTCAATGATCCATCTGCTTTCACAGCCTCTATAGCTTTCACTGTAGTTATCTGGGTTTGGTGATCCGAGCGGTGGTTGCTTGTGACGAGAGATTTCAATACAGAAAGCTAGGGTTTGGTTCTCTTTGAGCGTTGCTAGGCTCATATACCCACCAGCAAGGGCTAGTCCCTCCGTCTAGTGATTCTGTTTGTCCTAAGCCAGCGCGATTCGTGCCCCGCCGTTTGTTACTCTTTAAATCCTATCAGGGATTTCGATCTTACTGATCTGCAGCCATGCCGAAGAATAAGGGAAAGGGAGGTAAGAACAGGAAGAGAGGAAAGAACGAGGCCGATGACGAGAAGCGCGAGCTGGTTTTCAAGGAGGATGGGCAGGAATACGCTCAGGTGATGCGTATGCTCGGTAACGGTCGCTGCGAGGCGCTTTGCATCGACGGGATTAAGCGGCTCTCCCACATCCGAGGCAAAATGCATAAGAAGGTGTGGATCGCTGCAGGAGATATTATCCTGGTTGGGCTGCGAGATTACCAAGACGACAAGGCCGACGTCATCCTGAAGTATCAACCGGACGAGGCGCGTCTTTTAAAGGCGTATGGCGAATTGCCGGATAATATCAGGTTGAACGAGGGTATTGCCGGAGGCATGGACGAAGAGGGTGAAGACGGCGGAGACGACTATATCGAATTCGAGGATGAAGACATTGACAGGATATAGAATTGTGACTATGACGGGCGGATGCAGGCCCTGGTGCATAGCAGCTGGTTTTGGGGATTATGTGGAGCTATAGACGACGTTTAGTTTTTCAATGATTTGATTTCGAGGGGTTCTTTAGGTTATTTCTTACCTGATGTTCAGCCACGGACGCAGGGATGCTTATAACACTCCATGAGTGGGCTTCTTGCCCTCTTGTTGTAAGACCATTTAGGGCGTGTCATATTTTTGTCACCATGGTGTCAAAGTACAATCTTACTTGTGGGCTATAGTGGGGCACTCCCTATGGGGTACAGCACTTCTAGGGTTAGTACTTGTATTCCAACTCTTGCTAATCCAATCATTCCTGCACAGTAGTTCTCACATGGTATTCAGAGCAGGAGTTAAGTTTATAGGGTGTGCCGATAGTTTCGTTCGTTCCTGCCCGAAGCGCCCTTGCGCTGTCCGGCCCTGCTAGCACTGTGTCGCGCTGCTCTGCAGCCAGAGCGTCGCGCTCTGCTGCCCCTCGTGTCGCCGCCCTTTGCAGCCCGCGCACTGCCTTTAGCAGCCCGCACGCCGCCTTTAGCAGCCCACGCGCCGCCCCTGCAGCCTGCTCGCCGCCCCTACAGCCCGTTCGCCGCCCCTGCAGCCCGCGAGTCGCCCCTGCAGCCCGCGCGCCGCCCCTGCAGACCGCGAGCCGCCCCTGCAGCCCGCTCGCAGCCCGTTTGCGGCCCGCTCGCCGCCCCTGCAGCCCACGAGCCGCCCGTTTGCGACCCGCTCGCAGCCCGTTTGCGGCCCGCTCGCCGCCCCTGCAGCCCGCGAGCCGCCCGTTTGCGACCCGCTCGCCGCCCCTTGCAGCCCGCGCGCCGCCCCTTGCGGCCCGCCCGCGCGCCGCCTCTGCAGCCCGCTCGCCGCCCCCTGCAGCCCGCTCGCAGCCCGTTTGCGGCCCGCTTGCCGCCCCTGCAGCCCGCTCGCCGCCCGTTTGCGGCCCGCTCGCCGCCCCTTGCAGCCCGCGCGCCGCCCTTTTGCAGCCCGCTTGCGCCGCCCTGCTTGCACCGCCCTGCTGCCCTGCTTGCGCCGCCTTGCTTGCGCCGCCCTGCTGCTGCTGCTGCTGCTCGGGGTGCCGGACGTGCGACTGGGAGTGCTGGAGGTGCTGCTGGTGCCGAAGGTGCTGGACCTAATACTGACCGTCACTGCCTGTCATGGCCACTATCACGGCAGTTGCAGCGGGTGGACAGCGGCGGTCACTGCCTCTCTCGGACGACCCCACCCCTTAGCAGCTTCACGAGTGGGTTCTTCAGCGAGCCCGTCCAGGTGGTGGAGGCTTTGGTTTTCTTTGCAGAGGTGGAGCACATCACTACTACACAGAGACGGCAGCAGAGTCAGCAGGAGACCTTCTCCCCTCAGGTGCTTAGTGAGTTGTTTCCTCAGCGATGTGTCACTGGTTCTGTCGAGGCTGCTGCACTAGGTGCTAGTGAGTCTGCTGCCGCACAAGGTGCTAGTGAGTCTGCTACAACACTAGGTGCTAGTGAGTCTATTGCAGCTTTAGGTGCTCGTGCGTCTCCCGCCACAGGTCCTTCCTCAGCTGAGGCCTTGCACACTTTCACACTTGACTCAGGCGCGTCACGTTGCTTCTTTCGTGACTGCACCACACCCACACCACTTGCTGCACCGGTACCGGTCTCACTGGCTGACCCCACTTGGGGCACAGTAGTCGCACGAGCCTCCATTGTCCTCCCGTGTCGGTCAGTCCCCTCCGGTTCTCTGTCAGGTCCACCTCCCCACGTTCTTGACGAACTTGGTGAGCAATGCTGCCATTCAGGATGTCTGGGTTGATACCTTTATTCTTGGACGGCAGCGTGTGGCGATCTGTACGTGCTCCCGGACTGGCCGTCACCTTACGTTCAGTCGACGGCCTGGGTCTAGTCTGTACACACAGACCACTGCGTCTGCACAGGTGGCTGAGGCAGGTCAGGTGGCTGCGTCGAGTCAGGTGTCTGCGTCTGGTCAGCTTGCAGCGTCTTGCTCTTGTCGGGTACTCTCCCACCAGACCCTCCTCTGGCACCACCGCCTCGGTAACCCCTCCCTACCACGTCTCTGCGGTATGCACTCCCGTCTCCTTGTTTCTGGCCTTCCCAGGTCCCTGCCCTCCCTCCCGCGCTCGCCTGCCCCGCCGTGCCTTCCCTGCGTCGAGGGGCAGCAGCGCGCCGCTCCTCAATCCTCCGAGTTTCCTCCGACCACTTCTCCTCTGCATACTCTCCACATGGACGTTTGGGGCCCAGCCCTCGTCGGTGGAACGGACCAGGAGCGCTACTTCCTGCTGGTTGTTGACGACTACACACGTTACACCACTGTCTTCCCCTTGCAGCACAAGGCGGACGTCAGCGGTGTTTTGATCCCCTTGATCCGTGCTACTCGTCGCCAGCTGCGCGAGCGGTTCAGTCGGGACTTCCCAGTCTTGCGTATGCACTCTAACAGGGGCGGTGAGTTCTCTTCTGACCTCCTTGCGGAGTTCTGTCGAGACGAGGGCATCGTCCAGTCGTTCACGCTTCCGGCCTCTCCTCAGAAAAATGGGATTGCTGAGCGTCGCATTGGCTTAATCATGGAGGTTGCTTGTACCTCCATGATCCATGCGGCTGCTCCCCATTTTCTGTGGCCGTTTGCGGTCCGATACGCTGCGCATCAGCTCAACCTCTGGCCCCGTGTCTCTGAGCTTGGGGCAGCGGTTGGTTCCCGGTTCGAGCAGCAGGAATGGCTGGTGACTTATCGCAGCTTTGGGGCAGATGGTGCAGTTACGCGGCTGTGTTGTGCTCCTCACCTCAGAGCCATCAGGGCGCAAGAGCGCT